ATATTTAGAATATAAAATATGTGCATATGGGTAATATAATAATATAATGTCTCAATATAATGTCTCAAAAGTTAAAAGATCGGGGCTGGGATTGTGGCTCAGCAGTAGAGCCCTTGCCTACCAGGGGCACGACCCGGGTTTGATTCTCAGCACCACATAAAAATAAAGGCACTGTGTTGTGTCCATTTACAAAAACACATTCATTCTCTTTCTCTCTCTCTCTCTAAAAAAATTAAAGTATCAACTATAGAATATAAGCAAAGAATGAAAATTCTGACTAACGTTATAGTAAAAACAGCAGTGACACATTCCAAATATCATTCTGTCTAAAATATTATTTTTAAACGATGAATTAGAGTTTCCTCTTTCACAGAATGGATCATGAACATATGGAAAATCCAAAGGTATTTCTTTCAATTTCTAGGATAATATTCCCTGAGAATTTTTTTGCATGCTGTTCACTTTGTACTGGCTACAAATATGACACAGTTTAAAGTTGAACCTACATTATTAACATTTTCTGCCACTTTTTGAAGTCCAGATACTAAAAATAAAGTGTCAAACCCCATTTTTAATGCTTGCTGATATGCATGATGTAAAAACTCATAACTGATTTTAAGCTGCCGATGTGGTGTCACTGAGCACAATGGCAAGAAATGCACATCATTAGAAAGCATTTCCACTGTGCAAATGAAACAGACTTAACCCCAGGACCACTGATTATAGTTCTATGCAATATTAAAATTAGCAAGTGATGAGTGTTGAGTACTTTCTACATTTATTTTTAACTTAATGTCTCATTATAAGGTGATTTGATTAAATTTTTAATTTAATCAACCAGTTGTGATTAACAACTGGTTCACAACTTACAACTGGTTTATTTCTTGAAAATTAAGCTAATACAAGTTGACTCCAGTACATAATTAGCAGAGTTTATACAACAGAAATTCCAAACTGGGTTGTAATATCGGAAAGCTATTGATATTCCACTAAAAGGTTCTTGAAGACACTGTTAGAGAATAGTGTCTCATGGAATACCTTAGGATGTCAGCAGTGGATGGCATTGTCACATGTGGTAGGTCCACACTCCTACTACCTCTAACCAAATTGGAGTAGCAAGGGTTGTGTTTATCCCCTCTGGACTGGATCAATTTAAAACTATATAAAAATAGGATAACAGCAAATCTGAAGGAATTAGATATCAGGTAAAAAGGGACAGTAAAATTGAGAGAAAGTAAAAACAATACAAATTGAATCATGCATTTTTTAACCCAAGTCAGCCTAGATGAATTATTTAGATCATGGTGCTTTAACACAGGAAACTCAGAGAGAGTGTGGTAATCCCTTTTAATTGAAGACATAGTATATGTTTCTGAGACAGCTCAAGTGCATGAAACAGAGAAGAGAGAGCTGTGCAGAGAGCAACCTTTGTAGATCTGCAGTGTCCCTCCCTCTCAAGTACTCAGCTGAACAAAAATCAGTGCATGTGTGAGGACATTGTACATCGTCAGAAAAAAGAATGAACAGAAAAGGTGAGAGGGAGGAGTGCCACTGCTCTCTCAGAGCCAGAGAAAGTGTCAGTTCTCATTAGCCAGAGGGGAAAACTTTATAACTCTTGGAGAAACCATTAAACTAAGAGAATCCTTGCCTCTGTAGTTAAAAACAATTAACCTTCGTCGAAAGGCCGATGTGGACTCACATTACAATGCTTAAAATAAAAAACCCATAGGAATCAAATGTTTCTAAGTAACTTGATATGTCCTTTAACAAAGCTTAAGAATATTCAAAGTTATAGTTAAAAAGTCCTCCACCTGACCTCTCAGATTCCACACTAGCAAGCATGACCTTCAGGCTGACCTTGAGCTACAGGCTAGCTCCCCACAAAATCAGTCTTGATTCAAGTCAGCACCTTGTTCTCTGAACAACCCTCAGAAGTAATAATTGTCAGTTGTGTGTTTGGTCTCTGTCTGTCCTGACTCAGGTGACATCCCATCTCTTATGATTTGTATTTTAGGTGTCCCCCAAAAGCTCATATGTAAGACAACGCAAAAAGGGTGAAATGACCGGGTTAGGAGAGTCTTAAACAAATCAATGTATGAATTCCTTGATAGGGATTAACTAGGTGGTAACTGTAAGCAGATAGAGTGAGGCTGGAGAAGCTGGGTCCTTGGGTGCATGTCTTTGTGGATCTTATGTGTTTTGTCCCTGTTGAATAGAACTCTCGCTTTTTCTCTTTGCTTCCCGATGGCCATGTTCTGAGATGCTTTTCTCCATTACACTCTCTTTCATGATGTTCTGCATCACTTTATACCTTGAGGAGTACATTTGGCCATCTATGAACTGAGACCTATGATGAAATCATGAGGGCCAACTAAACTTTTCCTCCTC